AACAAACTAAATTTAAAAAAAAAGAAATATATATGTTGAACTTAAAAAAAAAAACAAAAACAAAAAAAAAACAAGAACTGTAAGCACCAATACTTTGCTGGCCCAGTGGTAAGAAGTTGCACGGCAATATTGAAGGCAAGTAGTTCAAATCCACTGGCTACTCTGTGGAAGGATGGGCAATCTCCTCCCATGCGATTAATTGGCTCAGAAAGCCTGAAGGAGGCCCAGTTATGGGTCACTTCCAACTTTATGATACATCAAAACAACACAAAGTAACCTTGCAATGTAACCTTATAATAATTTATTTCAACCAACATAGATATCTGTAAGCATCTTTTTATCGTAAAGAAAAGTCAAATAGGCCTAGAATGATGATCTAATTGCCTTTTTTGTTTTGTTCACAACTGTTTTGAAATTTCCAATATTAAAACTTTTAACATCAAACAAACTAAATCTTACAGAGGTAATTAATTAGCCCAGCAAAGAAAATAAACAGCAAACCAAATATACATTTATTTTATTCTGATTTACTTTTTTTAAAATTTTATTCTGATTTATTTACAAAGTTAGAATACATTATTTTTCCCAAAAGATGTAAAAAGTGCATCTTAGAACTCTCCTTGAGAAGAGAGAGCTGTTAATGTTGCTGATAACAGTGAGATGAAGCAATGCAATACTTTATATAACTTTATGGGTGAAAGTTCAGTGCATAAAAAAACCCCAAAACTGTTTGGCTGCTGGAGTTTTGTTTGTTTGTTTTTAATCAAATACCCTTTAATCTAGTCTCTGTGCTACATCACCCCTAACTTTTATTGAAGAAACTTTGACTCTGATTCTATTTCTTGGGAAATATAGGTTCAGATATTTGGAATTAGTAGGAACATTAGAGAAAAGTGTCATTTGAGGGAATTTTAGATTGGATTTCTCAGTGATTTAAAGGAAAGGAATCCTAACACTAATGGTATGAAGTGGTAATAACAAACATTTAAATATACAGAAATGGGTTACAAGAAAATAAACCAGAATTACATAACTAGATGGCACATAACAACAACAAACAACATATATATTAATATTTAGATATAGTTATTGTTTTGTATCATAGAGACACCTGTGACTCATAGCAACTCTAAGCAAAACAGCCCTAAACCCTGTTCTATCCTGTGCCAATCTTATTATCCCTGACACCAGTACCACCATTTCCCAGTCACTGAGTCAATCCATCTCATCCAGGGTCTTCCTTTCTTGTGCTGTCCTTCAACCCTCCCAAGCATGATGTCCCTCACCAAGGATGGTCCTCCCTTGAAACATATCCAAAGTATGTCGGACAAAGCCTCAGAATTCTTGCCTCCAAGGAGTAGCCTGTTCTCACCCTCTCTAGGACGAACCTATTTGTTCTTCTAGCAGTCCATGATATATTAAATACTTTTCTCCAGAACCACATCTCAAAGGCATCAATTCTCCTTCTATCATCCATAGTCATTGTCCAGCTTTTCAAAGCATAGAAAGTATTTGCAAAGACTATGGCCTAGACCAGGCGCACCTTAGTCTACAAATTGACATCATTGCTCTTCAGTACTCTGGAGAGGTCCCTTATAACAGACTTTCCCAACGTAATTTGACTTTTAATTTCCTGGCTGCTAGTACCAAGAGTGTTGATTGTGGAGCCAAGCAAATTAAAGCTGTTAACAGTCTCAATCTCTTCACTATCTATCATGATGCTGTAATTGGCCCAGTGGTAAGAATCTTTGTTTTTTGATGTTGAGCTTCAATCCATATTGAAGGCTGCGGTCTTTGACCTTCTGCAGTAAGTACTTCAGATCCTCCTCAGTTTCAACAATTAGGGTTGTGTCGTCTGTACAATACAGATTTTTGATAAGTCTACTTCCAATTCTGATGCCGCAATTTTCCTCATGGATTCCAGCTTCCCAGATAATCTGTTCTGCATATAGATTGAAGAGGTATGGAGATGGGTCACCTTTCTGGTGCACACCCTTCCCAGTTTTGAAACATTCAGTGTTTCCTTGCTCTGTTCAGATGACTGTCTCCTGGTCCAAGTATAGGCTTCACATAAACACAATCAGATGTTCTGGGATTTCCATTCTTCTCAGAGTCAGTCACAGTTTGTTGTGATTCACACAGTCAAATGCCTTTGCAGAGTCAATGAAACGGAGACAAGACCTTCCTCTGGTACTCCCTGCTTTAAGCCAAGATCCATCTAACATTGTTGGTGTTGTTGTTATGTGCTGTCGAGTCACTTGTGACTCATAGCAACCCTATGTACAACATACCTAAACTCTGCTCTGTCCTGTGCCAATTGCACTGTCTCCGATACACCCATCCCAATTAGCCCAGTCACTGAATCAATCCACCTCATAGAGGGCCTTCCCCTCCTGCACTGTCCCTCTACCCTCCCAAGCATGATGTTCCTCTCCAAGAAGTGGTCCCTCCTTGCAATATGTCCAAAGTATGTTAGACAAAGCCTCAGAATCCTTGCCTCCAAGAAGCAGCCAGGTTTAACCCTTTCTAGGATAAACCTGTTTGTTTTCTTAGCAGTCCATGGTACCGTCAATACTCTTCTCCAGCACCACAGCTCAAAGGCATCAATTCTCTTTCTATCCTCCCTAGTCATTGTCTAACTTTCTGACTCATTACAAGTGATTGCAAACCATAGCCTGTATCAGACACACCTGAGTCTCCAGAGAGACACTGTTGCTCTTCAGTACTTTAGAGAGGTCCCTAACAGCAGACTTTCCCATCACAACACGTCTTTTAATTTCCTGGCTACTGATGCCAAGAGTGTTGACTGTGGAGCCAAGCAAACTAAAGTTGTGAACAATCGCAATCTCTTCACCATCCATCCTGAAGCTGCCAACTGGTCCAGTGGTGAGAGTCTTTGTCTTCTTGACATTGAGCCTCAATACATATTGAAGGCTGCAGTCCTTGACCCTCTACAGCAAGTGCTTCAGGTCCTCCTCAGTTTCAGCAAGCAGGGTGGCATCATCTGCAGAACGTAGATTGTTGATAGATCTTCCACCAATCTTGAACTTGTATTTCTCCTCATAGAGCCCAGCCTCTGCATAATCTGTTCTGCATACAGGTTGAAAAGGTATGGAGACAGGACACATCCGTGGCAAACGTCCTTCTTATTTTGAACCATACAGTGTTTCCTTGCTGTTCTGATGATGGCCTCTTGGTCCAAGTATAGGTTTCGCATTAGAATGGTTAAGTGTTCTGGGATTCCCTTTCTTCTCAGAGTCAGTCACAGTTTGTTATGATCCACACAGTCAAATGCCTTTGCATAATCAATGAAACGCAGACATTCCTCTGGTGTTGCCTGTTTTCAGCTAAGAGCCACCTAACATTAGCTACAATATCCCTAGTACCATGACC